TGACGTATGACGAAATGAATAATACTTTCTTATCAAATACATCGCATAGATATGCACACGAGTCCGCACTGATCTTTCTGAAACGGTTGTTCTTATACCAGGTTTTGGCTATCCAGATCGCGGTTCCTCCTCCAATGCGATCGCGAGCGTTATGTTCTGTATTTACGTTGAACCAAAAGTAGTTGCTTGTCTCTATAGTATACTCCACCAATCGGGTTTATTGTAGTGCAATAATTATGTAATCACATTCCGCAAAATGTTTGTCAATATCCTTCCGCTTTTCTTCCTCCGAGCAACCGCGAACGTTCCAAGTAAGCACTGAAAAGCTAACATGGTCCATTTCGTTGTTAGATAACCCGCTGCATTGAAGCATCGGATTTGCACTCAATTGCGAGCAATTAGGCAAGCAGTTCCTATGAATCTCCGTAACTCTCTCCAGCGGCGGTAGAAGACTCGATGCTGCATCATCCCCTGTGTCGCTTCTAGAATTCCGAACTTCTCGGTTGACCAATATCTTCTGGACCACACTGTCGTAGTGATTACGGTATGTATGCCTTGAGCTTCTTGCTGCCAAGCGATATGCTATTCTTAAAACACCATATGCTGCTAGCTGCCAACTAAAAGTGGTCCATATTCGTAATAAACGTCGATCCTTATGTTGAAGATGACCGCAGCAGCCGCTATGGTTTCTTGTCCTAGCCATTCATTAGTTTTCGCTAATCTTTGAAGAAATACTTCAATTTTATCCTCTACCGATGCACGACCAAGATGCCTCATCTCCTCTACAGTATCAGCGAGGGATACACGTAAATTTTTGAAATTATTTCTTATGTGTTCCACCACTCTTTGTCGAAGACTCATTACTTTTTCGTAATGGTCTGTTGATCCTACTTCCAAATTGTGGTATTGATATACCAACGCCGAAAACAGGCAATGACCATCTCCAGGCATTCTCCTCACCATAACTGATCCCTCGTCGTAGAATATATGTTCCATTAGACTGATGCAAAATTTGACTTTTTCGCTCCACAGTGCTTAAATGGTTTCAAATCGGGTCCTGATTAGCCTCCCAAAGTTACAACTCATTTGGTTAGAAACAGACTTCGCACAAGCCATTTGAAGTTTACATGTAAATTACTATGGGAAATCTCATCTTTTTGTTCATAGCCTTCTAGTCTTTTTCCATATTGAGCTGCGAAACAGTTCGATAGCCATTCTTATATAACATTTTCTCAGCTACAACATTGCTTAAGATCGTTTCTATGTAAAACGAGACAGGAAAAAGTTATTAATTATTTAAGAGATTGGTAAACTTATGACATGATCAAGCAGCTGCTCTGTAGGCAACACTGTATTTTGCAGTGTGACATAGTAGCCATGATTTTTGTGTCCTATTCAACGCCCCAGAAACACCAATGTTGCCTGCTGAGCAGTTGATTGAGCATGATCATAAGACATCAGCGCATTGAACCATTGATAACTTTCGATCCTTGCATTTAATTAAAAAATGGTCTTCAGCAAAGCTGTAACTGGAAAAATTTCGTACAAGTACAGTTGAAAGCTTTTGAAGCAGGCCGATATGGTGAATTATTAGATAGACATGAACAAAAATCTTGGTTTTACCATAGTAATTCCCATACAAACTTCAAATGGTTTGTGCCATCTCAGTTTCTCACCAAATGGGTTCAAATTTTGAGAGGTTAGTCAGGATCCGATTTGGAATCGTTTAAGTATTGTGGAGCGAAAATTTCAAATTTTGCATCACTCTAATGTTCCATCGTAGACACTATTAAACTCTTAACTCAGAAGCTTCACTTGATTGCTTGATCACTCGCAATATAGTTAATTTATTTTTGTGGTTATGTTGATTTAGAACTATCAAGAAAATAATAATAAAAAGAAGACGTAAATTAATGTTAGTATCTATACATTGAAGTTATTTGGAATAAATTATTCTTTATGGTTCTGTTTCCATTAAAATGCTGATTTGTCCCTCGATTTGGTAATAAGTTGATCCAGCGTGCGCCTAGCCTATTTCCCTTGATTTGTTTTTCGTCGATCTTGTTTTCCGTGCTGAGCACCAATGCTACCGACGCCAAGGAGGCAGCTCCCACACTTGGACCCTACCTATCGACCCATCAATTCATGAACCGGGGACCAACGGCTTTACTTCCTTTCCGAAGGAAGGCGTGATCAGCGATGTTATGCCTCAGAACATCCCGGCGGCGCCGACTGGGATTGAACCCAGGCCTGCTGGGGTGAGAGGTATTCACGCTTACCACTACAGTACCGGCGCCGCTACCTAGCCTATTTGATATCGTTGATTTCTTCAAAACTGAATCGGCTATAGTCTTAAGAAGATAAACGAAGAAAAAAAGGAGGAAAGAAAAGAAAATCGCAACTCGACCAGACCAAAATTCAAAGGTAATATCAACAATCAATACGAAACTAACGATTTTAAATTGGCTCACTACTTGACTAGCCTATTGGTCCCAAGCAAATCGATTAACGCACCCCATTCTAGTCAAAATTCTAGTACTACACAATGTTTGTTTTGATTCGCTATGAAAGTTTGACAGATAAAATGAGGGGTTCGTGGATTTTCCTATGTTTCGAGGGGTGAATCGATTAGTTTGGGACCGAAGATAGTACCAGAGCTGAGCCAAAAAGTTGAGCACATTTCTTCGGGACCTACTAGTCTTAGAGTTACCTCTATGGTAATATCTGTGTGATGTCACATTCCAAAAGTTTGAGCTAAATTATTTTTGTCGCTATTAGACTGAATAATACAAAGAACTGTTCATAGTTTAATTTAACTAGTAATTAAATACAAACTTTTGGTCCGCTACATCACTGCTGACATCACTAGTGTGCATCTTTCAAAATGTAAAGATACAGACAAGCCCTGAAACCTGGTTGCAGTTAAGCAATCCTCAAGGTTATGCCAATGCCCAGGGCCTAGAAATCCTGGAGATAATTGTTTACAAAAGCTGTTTCGCCTTAATACCAACAATCAATTCGAAACTAACGATTTTAAATTGGCTCTCTACTTGACTAGCCTATTGGCACAAACGAAGTGACAGACGACTAACTGGCGAAGAAATCCATTTAAATAATGTGGTTCACTGTAATAGAATTTTCTTTGAAGCTTGTGCCATCATCCACCAGATGGGTTAGTTTTTTTGTTTTGATTTGAACAAAGTTGATTTTGTGTACAATGATTCTTTGACAGTGTGCAAAGAGTGCGTATCATTTTGTCATTTTTTTATGCATTTCAGTTTTGAGTAGAGTGAAAAAGATAGAACCAACGCATTCTAGTACATTTGGTGAAAATGCTAGTTCAATCTAGTAGTAGTGTTGCCATGTGGTACAATCCAATCTACAATGTGGTACCAATGTGGTACAATCTAGTAGTGGTGTTGCCATGTGGTACACTGAAAAATTGCAATAGCAGGTTAGTCACCAAAGTTTTCGAGCCGCTCCGTCTGTCACTTCGTTTGTGCTATTGGTTCCAAGCAAACGATTAACGTATCCCATTCTAGTCAAAATTCTAGTACTACACTATGTTTGTTTTGATTTGCTATGAAAGTTTGACAGATACAATGAGGGGTTCATGGATTTTCTTATGTTTCGAGGGGTGCATCGATCAGCTTGGGACCGAAGATAGTACCAGAGCTGAGCCAAAAAGTTGAACACGAATCTTCGGGACCTTCTGGTCTTATAGTTACCTCTATGCTAATACCAGCTCTATCTAGAATTGTATGTTTGGCAGCTTGGTATTTTGGCAGTTCACATGTTTTGTTATGCTCGCTGCAATGTTGCAAACCGAAAGCGAGCGATCATCGTCAGTTCCATGCCGGAAAATCTGCTTTACCTGGAAAGCAACAGCGAGAACAACCGAAATTACACCAACCTTTCGCCTCGGCAGGTGCCACGTGTACGGTGAAGAAAACTCTTACCAAACCTCCCGCATTGCAAGATTGCCTGAACATTGTCGATTGTGACCCTTTAACATCCGTTAACGAATGCTTGAATCTTCTCAGTGGCAAAAACAATATAACTGAAAGTCCTTCGAAGGAAAAACTATACTAATCGGAGGATAATAAGTTAGCCTTGATGGAGAACCCCTCCAGTGAGGACTATTCGGTTCCGCTGAGTGCTCATCTGAAGGTCACAACTTCCCGGTATGTCAAACCATACGAGCTGTCGAAGACAATGGTCACGTCAACGCCAGATCGACGGAAATAACATTTGGCCGTTGGAACGCTTCCGATTCTGTGTGGATCATGCAGGTCGACCTATTCCGATGGGAAGTACAGCGGAGAAGCGATTCCCTAGGGTGGCAACATGCTCGACATACTGTACACCATGTCGAAGGGCTACTACACCTGGACAAGCCGGGATCCAGATTCATCGTACTACAACCTGAAGGATGAGGATAAGCATCAGAATCTGACGTTAACGTTCAACAGCGTAACTTCCTAAGCCGCATCAGCTGTTTCTTGTGACAAGGGTACCTGGGGTTCCTACCTGAATACCTACAACAACATCTACAAAGGGGTCAAATGTATCAAAAGATTGCAGTGCTCTCTGCAGACTGAGCGCGGCGGCATTTTTTTTGGATTCCTTGATACCTGGGTTTTGGCAATAAAGATACCATTTCCGGTGAGTATTCTTACTACCAAAGATCAGGTACTTGCTAGCAGGTCCTCCCGAGTATTGTTCATTCTTATAATCGGTCCCTATTGGTCATGACTTGCGGGGTTGTGCTAATCACCCCGATCGCCATCACCCCGAATGAGGTTCTGCCTTCTTTTGATTGCTGCGCGTTTTTTTCACATTCGGGTAATGTAGCACAATCATATAGGAACTCTCATGCAAGCAGAACCGAACAGTTTATTTACAGCGGTACCATGTGCGCAAACACTTTCCAACAAATCCGAAAAACCCTAAGTAATAAACAAATTATCACCTACCTTTGCCACATGTACCATCCACAGTACTCCGTACTCCCCGGACTCGCCCCAGCTGCCGGTGTACAACTGCTGCATCTCGAACCTACGCAACTCGACCATGTCGCAAATCGTCGAGATGGGCAAACTTCTCTCGAACGACATCCCGCTGGACAAGTGCATCTGGGCCCCGGGCGGTGGCATCACGCAGATTCGCATCCGCAACATAATCCGAGTCATGCTGTACCACATTCTGCCGGCCATAATGATCGATTTGCTTCTGCGGCTGGCGGGTCAACGGCCATTGTGAGTGAAGCCTAGAATATACCATTGTAGTGCTACAGAAAGTCACATTTTCCATCTTACAGCTTGGCCAAAGTGCAGAGGAAAATCTACAACGCGAACGTCGCCCTGGAGTACTTCATCTGCAACAACTGGGAATTCAAGAACAACAACTTCATTCGATTGGCGTCGGAGATTAAACCGGAAGATAAGTATGATAACTTTGGACTATGAACGGGAAAGTTTGTCCTAACTCTGATTTTCTATTACAGCAAAGACTTCTACTATCGTGACTTTATCGAGTTCGATATAACTCTGTACTTCCGAAACTGTATCCTAGGCGTTCGCCGTTATCTTCTGCACGAAAAGGACGAAAACATACCCAAGGCATTGAAGCATCAACGTCGTATGAAGTTGTTGGACAAAACGTGCAAATTACTATTCGTGTCCGGATTTCTATACCTGATACTGATCAAGTTTGATATGCTAGGATTGTCGCTCTACCTGGCGTCATATCGAACCACTTACGATCTAAGCAGATAAGAGCAAACAACTTATAAGCAATCGACCAATAAATGTTTCAAATAAATTTGCATCCATGGAGTGTTGAAAGGAAATTTCTTTTACTTGCCGACGAAATCACCAATCGGAATCGTACGCTTCTAAACTCGCTGTCTGCTTGAATTTATTAACCCTTCTTCTTTTTCTTCGGTTACTGCAACGTGACTGTACTCTAAGGTGTTTCTTTTTTTCCGAAAATGTTCCATCCATCCCATCGGTTCCACTATTGCCTTGTCGGTCTTGAATGTGTAGGTCTTAATTGTATTAACAAAAGTTTTAACTGATGGCAGTATTCTCTGCGATCACGCTTATTCGGCGGCTTTCACCAGAGCCTCAGCAACTTCAACAGCGATGGCGGCTTCGGCACGTTCCTAAAAATCAAAAAAAAAAATCCGATTGATTACACCCATAATCAGTTGTTCCACTCAATCAATCTCACCCTATCGTTCGAGGCGGAGGACAACTGGCTCTGAGCACTGGACAGGATCTCGCGGCACGCACTGGCGTCCAGATCTTCAATTGGGTGAGCTTCCTCGGCCAGAACCTGAACCGAAGAATCCTCGTTCACGGTGATGGTACCGCTGGAAACAAAGATTTTCTTGGTAGCACCATCCTGCTCGTAGACGGTGACGACTCCTGGCTTCAGAACAGCTGAAAAAGCAAATGGATCATTAATTACGGAACCCACACCAATCAATCAGTCAGTGAATCCTCCTACCCAGAGTGGGGACGTGCTTGGGCAGGATACCGAAGGCACCGCTGAAGGAGGGCACATCCACCTGCCGGATGTTGGCAGCGTCGTAGTACACCTTGTTGGACGCGGCCAGCGTGAAGGCCATCTCGTCGGCGTAGCCACGGAACTGCATCGAACGCAGAGCCGGGCGGACCGAGGCGGCCAAACGAGCAGTGCTTCTCAGGGCGAACGACATTCTACCGATGGAGAACGGTGTTCCGGAAAAGATGCAATTATGTAATCGGAAATGAGAGAAAAGGGAAGTCAAATACGAGCTGTTGCTAACATGCAATGTATTTTTTTTCCATCTATTGCATAAGTGCAACCTTCGGTGCAAACAATGGCACCGAAAACAATGGAAATATTCACTTACTTTTGATTTTACTAAAACTTTTTACACTGCAAAACCTCGAGAATGTGCGCAACCACGAAGAATGTCTGCCGCAAGCTGTCAAAAAAGTTACGAGTTGTGCGAATTTTCGATGTTTACTCCTCGCGCGGAGTGCTGTCGGAGCTCGAGCAGGGGCTAGGACAGAGCAAAGTTGTCGGAGTAAAATATTCTTCAGTAAACTGGCGAATGATTCTTCAAAACGTCCTATGAACAAATCCTCGAGCAACTTCGATTCTTTTCGGATGGAAAATTTTCAATTTTGCTAAAGATTTGGGTCTCTACTGCGATGTTCTTATGTTCTGCTGGATTCTAATCCAGCACTTCCCGGACACAAAAATATTATTAGTAAACCATGAACAAGATACATATTTATAAATTCCATTGTTCGAGAACAGGCTCACAAATGATCATATGGTAATTTAATCTTACAAGAGACAACAAAAACAATAAAGCTACTGTTCATCTTATTGATTGCAAATTTTTACCATACAAAAATAATAAATTAAATGGTATCAGACTATGTTTCATTTGGTGAATGTTCACTAAAATTGGACAGATGGAAAATTTTCAAATAACCAAACTTGTTTCTGAAATTTTGTAAGAACCATGTTTGTTTTGTGTGTGTACACACAATCGGCTGGAGTGCTGGAAATCGTCTAACGGATCACGTCGAAAAACAGTTTGAAGCTGATGATGCTGGGACTGGAATCGTTAGCCACTTCATCTTTCCGGAACAGCGATGACTGTCCTATATCATCCTTTTGGATGGTCTGGTGCCCCATTAGATGGCATACTGCTGGGCTAAAAAGGAAGCCATCAAAATAAAAAAAAAAAAACCAAATCGACCATCAACAGCAGCAGTTCTTCCAGTTGTAGTTGGTAAAGCATCTGTCGTTCGACTAACAGCAAACGCATTTCGACTTCATCTAATTCCAATTTTAGTGAATTTTACATGACCTGGGGTAGACAGCACCAATTCATCGTCAACACAGAAACTGAAGAAAACATTGATCCCGATGATATTTGACTCGATATTTGACTACCAAGTAAAATAACTGTAGTATTGAGTCGTTAACGAGGTTGTTAAGTGCTTGGAATTGCCTTTAGGTGGCTATTGAGGCGGCTACTCAAACTTGGGCTGTGTTCCATTTGGTGAATTTTAACTTAAATTTGACTGATGGCAAATTTTCAAATAAACCTGCCATTCGAGAAGACTTATTTCTGACCGGATCAGGAATCAATTTGGACAAACACCTGAGGGGCACGCAATAACCTTTAACTCCTACGCAAGCCTATTTTAAGTACAATAATTACAGTTAACTACATGATTAATTACTTTAATTACGAGCGTCGGAGATTTTTTGATTTAATTACTTTTAAGTACAAATTTCAGCTTTAATTACAAGTCGCATAAATTAAGTACATTAACTCCATTAATGTACAACGAGAAATGTACTTAAATTTCCCCCAGCGTACTGTTAGACCCTTTCGTTATTAGCCCGTGAAACAAAAATTTCACAGGCCCTTTTTCTACGTTAAGGATAATGTCAGCTCTGATAAATTGTATCGCTGTTATGACTTCAGAATAGACCCTATAAACATACATCTCCTGGGACCTACGAGGAAATCTACGTTGGTGATTGGTGCAAATTCACATGCAACGATCGGTTCGTGATTGGAAATGTAGTCGGATTTCAATACTGCCGAGCTGTTGGCAGGGCAATGAACTATATCCTGGATCACGCCCCTGTCAAAGCACCGGAGAATGCGACAATGAAAGGAATGTTTGTTTGTGCTACCTGGTTCAACCTAAGAAATAACGAATTTAATTTAGTGGATGCGAACGAAAACAGAATTACAAAAATTATGTTAACCTTTGCGCCTAACGTCTAAATTTGCATAGATTTCAAAATTCAATTAGCTCTAAAAACACAATTTCGCAATATTTTTCTTTACAACAAATTGAATTTTGTCTTGGTTCATGGCGAGGTTCATGGTTCCTGAGTTATATCGGTTCCCGTTGGGGTCACTTTTGGTCGACATTCGGCTTTATTGTCCTGTAATTAGTATACACACGATGAACATAATGTTTTTTTTTCTCAAACAATGTAATTGGACCAGTGGCAGCTATTTCGATGGTTCACAATCAAATTGGGCATCCCGGAAATGTTCCGGTGCCCCGGGGAAGTGGCCAATTCTCAACAAGAACGAAACCCATCGTGTGACATATCAAACTTCGCCTTAATTTTCGTTGTTTTTTTTTATGCTGATGGTTCAATCAAAATGCAACCATCAGCCCCGATCGATGATAGGGTGACCACCCGATCATCTTTTGGTCACATCCAGAGGTAATACTCTAACATTTGATGAAAAGTGTAAGCTGGTTGCTCCTGTATTTTTTAAGTTTTTATTGATTTTTAAAATATAGCGAAATTGTACATTTTTTTAGTAAAATAATAATTTATTTAGATTTTTGCATAACTTCTGTTAAATTTGTTTACATGAACTTTTTTCCTCAGTCCAGACGTTCTTAAGTTAATACGAATCACAAAATATTAATTATGAAAAATCAACATTTTAGACCATTTTCAAATGTAAGTCGATGTGTCCAGCAACAAAATGTGTTTTCCATGATTGTATTAAATAACAAATGATTTATTCTCAGATTTGGTGGCTGTCAGACTTGCCCTTTCTATATAGGCGCAGCGGAAGAAAAACAAGTGTTTAATTAAATACTCTCCGTAAAGTAAGAAGGTACGGCTGGTGGCGATGGATCACTATGTTCCGGTTAATATTCCAGCTCTATTTGGACGAGAATTCGATTCGCAAAATTCACGCACAGAAATTCCATCAGCCAGCGGGCGGCTTCCTTCTCCAAACTCATGACCCAAGAGTACAACTTGGGACGAGTTCGGTTCCATTGTCCGGGGAGGCTTTTCCCGGGGCTAGGATCAGCAGTTTGGCACCTTCCAAACTACTATACACCGACACCTGGTTGCTCGTCTTCGTCGGATTCAATCGTTTTAAGCCCGGAAAGTGGATGTGCGTTACCGTCTCCACCATGATGCGCTTGATGCTTTTGTCCCCGTGACCGACTATGAACGAGTGGTCCATCGTTTATTTTAATGAGATCGTTGAAAACTGACAGCGATTATGGCAGAGTGCTTCGCGGTCGACCTAAAAACTGCGAGAAGCTGCACGGCTTGCTTGATAATTTGTGTGCATGCAGAAGGGATAAGTTGGGAATAGAAAGAATAGATTAGATGGATTGAAATTTTGTGCACGTTGAAAATTTTATGAGAGATTTGGGTAAAAATGGGATAATCTTGAAGTGTCGTTCCCCCTGGGGGGTGACTCTATCTACGATGCAGGAAAGATTTTGTTTTACTGTGGTTAGCTGCGCGCACGCTGAGTAGACAGAAAAAAGATTGATGACGATTATGAAGATTTCCTGTAAAAAGATGATGCACGATGCAAGTAGATGCGAGAAATGATAGAAGATTTTTCGAAGTTTGATTCGTTAGTTTGAGATTTTTTGAGCATCTAGAAATGTGATTTAGGTGTGACGCCCCCCTCGATTTTCTACTCAACTGGAATTTCACCTATAATGCAACGATCCTATCAGCATGGACCCAAAGGTCAGGACCAATAGCGTGGATGGAATTTATCGAAAAATCATGGTTCTCGGTAATAGAATGGAAGTGCACGCAGTAGTAGGTTTTTTAGATTTGTGAGTAGTTATATTTTTGAGTGCATGGGGGAATGCTGTCAACAATGCTGTCGGTTTGTTTACCAACAAAAGCTGACCTTTTGTTTTAACCTAACTTTTTTCCTAACCTGAACTTCAGAGCTAGGATTAATGTCATTGTTGATGTTGAGCAAAATTGTCAACGCGGAAATGATTTTAACACATCAAACGACCCTAAAACCTGCGCAGGAATTAAGTTATAAAACAGCACAAAAACGTTAAAAACAATCTTAAAAATGCCAGAATAGCCCAAAAGTCGCAAAATTCTCTTATTTAAATAGTTTGAAATTTAAGCCATTTTTTCTAGCTTATTAACTCAATTTCGAAAACACAAGACCAAGTTTCCTGAGTTTCTGTGACCCACCAAATCACAGCCCACAGATTGAGAAACGCTGCTATAAGTCATGTAGTGATTTAAATTTTGAAAGATCTTACAGTACATATTATAATTTTTAGAATTTTCCAAAGACTTCTAAGATTCATTGGAGCTCCAGCAGATCCTGGCAGTTCTGAGAATTCTTGCAGTTATAGAGCTCTAGAATTTCTTGGAGTTTAAAAGCGTTCTGAGGGTTTCAGGTCACCAAGAAGATCTTGAAATTCTGTTTTGAAAGTTCTCAGAGTACAGATGGATCTCGATTTTGGCAACATGTCTGCTTCATCTATGTTGTCAAAGTTGAGATTTTTTTGACATGTCACAATTGAGTGCTAAAATGGCTTAACAATAAGAATCAATCCTAAGTGGAGTGTTGAAATTTTTTGGAAAAAATCCATTTATGATTATCTAAAAAACATCGTGTTGCCAAAATCAAATACCTTTGGGTCTCGATTTTGGCCACATTAACAAATAAAAAACCTAAAAATGACGTAATATCATTTATAAATACTCCCCAGTATATAATTTCATCAAATGTAGCATTGTTTAAAAAATATAATTTTAGATTTTTCAGATTTTTTTGTGTTGCCAAAATCTAGATCCATCTGTACTGGAATTCCTTAGCCTGCTCAGAAGTTCTGAGGTTGCTGAAGTGTCAGAAGCTTCTGGAGTTTTGAGATCTCTTGCAGTTTTTAGCGCTCCAGTATTTCTATAAGTCTTTCAAATGTGGAGTTATTTAAAGTTTTCATAGTACCGGAATCCTCCATCAGGTAAAGGGTACCGAGGGAGATCCAGATATTCGAAAAGATTAAACAGTTCCAAAATTGCCCTGGAGTTTAAACACCTTTTTCACAAACTAATCTATTGTTGTTGAGAAAATCAAATCACGATGTCCAGTATTGTATATTTCAGTTAGTTTTTCAAAATAAAAATTGTATTTGCGCAATACACCTTGTGAACATCGAGTTTTAATGTAGGGCGAGTTGATTTCTTGCTTCGTTTACGCGGTCTTAGAAAAGATTAAACAAACAACGATCTCATTAATTTCCATTTGGTCACGTTTTTGAAGAATTGCATATTAATAACCGGGAATATTCTGAGGAACCGGGAAAACCGGGAATTTCAAAATTATAATTCACTATCCACTCTGCCAGATGCCGTGCTAAGGGATATGACACACCTCAATCTGACTGCCACGGCAGCGGGTACCGCGCTTTTTTTTTGCTGGCGCTTTTGCTGGCAGTTGTGCTGTCTGTGTCACTTTTGACACCTGTTCTGGTACAAATTGCTGTCTTTTGCTCTAGTACCGGGTGCACCAGGTACACTAAAAAAACAGCTAGGTGAACCAAACAAAAATCGCGTGAAGGAGGTCCTTACCCTTTGGGTCCATGCTATCAGCATCGATTGATCCAGTAGTAGCAACAATCAATACGAAACTAACGATTTTAAATTGGCTCACCACTTTATTAGCCTATTGGTCCCAAGCAAACGATTAACGTACCCTATTCTAGTTGAAATTCTATTACTACACTATGTTTATTTTGATTCGCTATGAAAGTTTGACAGATAACATCAGGGGTGTGGGGATTCATGCAGAACATGCAGGGGTGAGTGAAATAGCCTGGGACTGCTTGGGACCGCTGTTCTGGTACTGAGTGAGCAAAAAATAATAATGATTTTCTTCGGGACCCAGTGGTCTTAGAGTTACCTCTATGGTAGTAGCACAGACAAACAGACATAACACTCGCAAGTTGTTTATCGAACAAGCATTTAACGGACAGTTTAAAAGTATCGTAGTTGGTAGTACCGCCACTTGTGGCGCGTATAGTCAATTCCCTTGCGTTTGACGTTTACACACTACCGCCATCTGTTCAGCGTAGTACCCACTACAGTGTACTCAATAGATGGCGGTTATGTTTTAGCGACGATGTTTTACAGTGAGAAATATTCAGTGCGTTATGTCTGTTTGTCTGTGGTAGTAGTAACAGCAGCTCTGCTCAGCTCTGGTACTCTTTTCGGTCGCAAGCTAATCGATGCACCCCTCGAAACATAGAAAAATTCACGAATCCCTAATTTTATCTGTCAAACTTTCATAGCGAATCAAAACAAACATAGTGTAGTACTAGAATTTCGACTAGAATGTGGTACGTCAATCGATTTGCTTGGGACCAATAGGCTAGTCAAGTAATGAGCCAATTTTAAATCGTTAATTTCCAACCAGTGTTAGCACCATGCAAGTTAGCTCTAACGTGAAGATTCCATCACAGCACATCAAACATACCGTGGTGAGCAATATTTCAACCGTGGCCCCTCCAATAAAATCCGCCGCTACAGTTTCCGATTTAGAAAACATTTCCACGGCGGGGCAACAACCGATTAATACCCAATTCCAGCTCCAGCCCCGCTGAATGTTCAGCCAGAGACTGCCGTCGACGGTCACAGCAAAATGCTCACATGAATTTTTGCAATGTGATCAACAAATGATATCTATGTGTCAGACACATACTTAATATGTGTACACATAAAAGCCATGTGTAAGAACACATACTATTCATTTGACTCATAAATTTCATATGTGCTGCTTGGTGGATTCTGTTTATGAGTGGTCACATGAAAATCATGTGGAATTTCACATGGAAATTCGTAAATAAATATGACGTGTGGAATTTTATTAGTGTACACTGAAACAAAGATAATAGATAGGAATACTATTTTGCAGAAAACACTTATTAAATCTTCCATGATTTCAGTATAGTTTACTATAAATATAATCAAATTTACTACCATTCTGTCAAAACTACTATGCTTAGTCAAACGGCATAGTAGTTTTGATAGAAAAAATAGTAGAATTAAATGAATTTCGTTTGTGCAAAAATCTATTTGTGGGAGTATTTAATTTAAACCATCAATATATTGCTGATTGCATCTGAAACTGGACTGTCCCAAAAATGCAAAAAGTGTGATAAAAGTGCACGTTTCCGTCAAATCGTTTTGATGTCTTCGGAGCACTTATTGCTTGCATCATATGGAATAAGTACACCGCAAGTGCAATTTTATCACACTTTTTAATAAGTGAAAACGCGCTTATTAGTCCAATTTGGTGTAAAATGCTAGGGGGGCGACTCTATATACGATGCAGGAAAAATTGTGTTTTGCTGTGGCTAGCTGCGCGCACGGTGAGTAGATACAAAGAAGATTGATGTCGATTATGAAGATTTCCTGCAAAAAGATGATGCGCGATGCAAGTAGATGAGAGAAATGAAAGAATATTTTTCGAAGTTTGATTCGCTAGTGTGAGATTTGTTGAGCATCTATAATTGAGATTTAGATGTGTCGCCCCCCTCGGTAAAATGTGCAATAGTATTTTAGCCAATGGATTTTGTTTCTGTGTATGAAAAGAATCGATCAAATCAGATAGGACCTTTTGAAGAATTCGTCTAGATCAAGGTGACTACACCATGGTCTAGATTATCTGCAGTGTATAGTAACTCCGACACAACAGCCCACTCCCTCGTCGAGATTTGACATCTTCCATTTTTGATCTGTCATATCCGCGGCTTTGCTTTTTTATCACGCATCGTTCGTTCGCTCCCCGTCCCGTCGTTCCCATTTTCGGCAGTCATTTTCCTCCTTCTTGTGCGGTTGACGGAGTTTGCTCCTGCCGCGGCCATTCTTTTCTCTGTGCATTTTTTGTGTGAACGCATTTAAAACTGACTGAACAAAGTTTGTGTAAAGTGTAGAATATAAGGTAGAACAGTGCAATTAAGGTTGCTGATAGTGTTTATCAGGTTCGCTATATAGGTGAGTAAACAATAGGCGATAAGATTTGTGGAATACACGTCACCGATTCGATTCGAGTCGACTGGAAAAGGTAGGCTGGCAGAATTATCAAGGGGCGTTTTTTTTTTCCTATTTCTAAGATTCAGTTTGGGAATATACGGCGGTAGGATGCGGATGTTGACGACCTCGAGACCGGTTTTCACCGTGCTGTTTGCGGTGGGTTGTCTGCTCGCCACCGGCACCACGCTGGTCCGGGCTCACGATGAGGACACCCTGAGTGTCGCCCTGACCAAGGAGACCTTCCAGTCGGAGATCGACGGAAGCAACTATTTCGTCATGTTCTTTGCTCCGTGGTAAGTAAATTCTAGGCCGCTAAATTATTGATGAATGCAGCAAACGAAGATGACCCGAGACATTATTTGCAAAGGTAGAGACGGAGATTGGTGACTATTTTTAGATTCACGGATGGGTTTGCGTGTTGTGTGCGTGAGGCTCATTTGAAATATTGTCACCAGCAGCGGTACCCGCGCTAGGATGATGGTAGTTGGTTAGGAATGAACAGGTGCCTCTAGTGTTTGAGATGAATGTTGAAAAATTAAATACAGGCTAAACACCAATCACCAGCATCTGTTTTCTGGCTTATCTACTGGTCCGGTCTGGCAGCGAGTTTTCGTAATGATATGTTTCATTTGAAGGTGGGCGGGTAATTACTGGTTTGACGGGCAGGGGAAGTGAAACGAGTGATTTTCTTACTTTATCGCTTTCGCTAGTTTTAATATTGTACATTACACTGATACTATCACAAAAATGATGAGCTTGTTTTTCGCTTTCCGTACTCGTTCATGATACGTCTACATAGTTTCTTATCTGCGAGCATGTTTTTGTCGGTCAAAAATTCTTACAGGACAGGGCAAAATTAACAAGATTGCGATAACATAGCATCGTATAATTTTTTTAGATGATTTCATCATGGTGAACAATTCATTAAAATATGGTCTTAAGAATAGAAGCATGATGTTGAATTACAGACAGACAGAAAGACAGACACTTAATCATCCGGACATTATAGATAGGAGAACCGTCTTCCAAGTGACTTCCGGTTCACTAAGATTCCGTAAAATGGCCAAAATCCTGAACCCGTTAAAAAACCACTCTCCCTCTCTCTTCCCTCAGGTGCGGTCACTGCAAGAAGCTCGCCCCAACCTGGGCCAAGCTGGCCGAATCCAAGAACGAAGACAGCACTATCCAGATCAAGATTGGCCGCGTCGACTGTACCACCGATGGGGACCTGTGCAGCGAACAGGATGTCACCGGATATCCAACGCTCAAGTTCTTCAAGCAGGGAGAATCGAACGACCAATCGGTCAAGTACCGCGGTGCTCGCGATCTGGATGCATTCAATGCCTTCATCCGCGAACAGCTGGGCCTGGAAGAGGACGAGTCTGAGGAAACGGTAGCCGAACCACCAAAGCCCGTCTCGCCGTTGGTCGAACTGACTGACGATACCTTCGCCAAGCACATCTCCAGCGGAATGCACTTTGTGAAGTTCTTCGCACCGTGGTGCGGCCACTGCACCAAGCTGGCTCCCACCTGGGAAGAACTGGCCAGGAGTCTGGAGCACGACACATCGGTCCGCATTTCCAAGATCGACTGCACCCAGTTCCGACCGATCTGTACCGACTTCGAAGTCAAGGGCTACCCAACTCTGCTCTGGATCGAGGATGGCAAGAAGATTGAAAAGTACTCCGGCTCCCGGGCGCACGATGATCTGAAGGCCTATGTCGCCAAGATGGCCGGAGGACTCAAGCTGGACGAAGCGACCGAGAAGGTCGAAGGAACCGAAAAGGACAACACCTCGGCCGTTGTGCAGCTGTCCCAACCGGACTTCCAGCATGCGATCGAAAAGGGTGTGACGTTCGTCAAGTTCTACGCTCCATGGTGTGGCCACTGTATGCGATTAGCTCCAACCTGGGAACAGCTGGCAGAGAAGTTTGTCGGTTTGGATAATGTCAAGATTGCCAAGGTGGACTGCACCCTGGAGGTCAACAAGGACTTGTGTGGCGAGCAGGATGTGAACGGTTTCCCGACCGTTTACATTTACCGAAACGGCGAGAGGCTGAGCGAGTACAACGGAAATCGCTCGCTGGAAGATCTCCACGATTTCGTCACCCGGCATTTGACCGAGCACGACGAACTGTAAGCCGAAAGCGGGGGTGTTCTGATTTCCATTGTATTTGGTAGATGTGTTTTTCTATGTGCGTGAAAAACAAACCATTGTGTAATTCAATCATATCTCGCATTAAGGGAGAGACGAACAAACAGTAAAATATTTGTAGACAAATCAATGAAGGATGGAGGACAAGTTTGAATATGATCTTTGAACAGTAGAAATCGTTGGACGATAATAAAAACTTAAGAAAAGACAAGCCAAACTTAGAACAAACCATGCATGTTTTTTTTTTCTGTCAATAGACATCAAGAGAAAGCCTTTCTGTCCACATATGCAATCTAACACCAACACAGCCAGTTCTTGAAAGCATCTTTTAATATGGAGGATATACTTCCATCATTTCTCTTGTCCATTTGAAATATGTTCCACATCGAAGATGCGTCACCCATACCAAAACGGCCAGGTCTACTGTGCGGCACCTGTCTGTCCACCCAAGGATTTCGAAGCCATACTTACACACCAAAACCAGGGTCCCATTCGTAAATTATTTAACACATAATTTATTAAGAAAACCACATCGCCTAATCGCCGCACGCAGCGCAGCAGCACCGATTGATCGACCGTCCGTCATTCTCCTGGTCCATCTACTTGCTATTGAGCGAACGTTCGCAGTTGGTGTAGGCCATTCCGACGCCGAAACCGGAACCCATGATGATTGGCCACGCACGCCGCTTGAAGAATAGCAACGAGAACACACTGCCCAGAGCAAGACCGCCACCTGAAACAGAGTCGGAACCGTAGATACAGGTTTTCAATAAACAATAGCAAAAATTATGTAACTGCAAGCAGCAAACATCAAGTTCAAGGGTGGATGTCGTTCATTCCGATGATTGTTGACCTACCAAATTTGATCAGCGTATCCGTCAGGCAGCGATCGATCTTCTTGCCGTACTGGTCCTCAGCGAAATTTTGGGCCATCTTTTTTCCGGTGGTCTTTCGGGCCAGGTAAATCGATTTTCCCGGGGTCTAAAACGACGGCAGCACACAAAATCCAGCCACTGCAGTTCGTGTGATGAAAACGCGAGGAATCTTTTGAAGTCGCGAAAAGAGTGCACGGTTTTGACGTTTATGTGTTTTGTTCGATGAGACGGTTCACATCCCTGACTGAGTGCTAGATAGGCGGAGTGAGTGACCCAGGTGTTTCTGAAGGGGCATATAATTCGTTAAGGTGATTTCTTGTATAGGTCACAAATGGCCGCCAAACACACCAAATTTTAGTTTTCATTATCAGTAAAACGGTTTGCTGGATCATGATCAGCAACAAAAAAGCTTTGCTGAAAAACAGCAAACGATATTTTTACCGAAAAATTCAGCTAACATAAACGGTTTGCTGGACACCCAGTAAAGAGCTGTCAATCTGTTAGCGTCACAGTCGCAAGTATTTGCATTTGTACGATTCGTACAAACCACCGAGGAGGAGGAGATAAACAAAACTACAAATATATAAAATAATGTTGGTAAGAGCACTGGTTAGAATAAATTTTTAATAAGGAATGCATGGAAAAGGCCCTGGCGATTTTGTCTTTATTATTTGTGTATTTGTATCAAAAATCTTTAATAGAAGCTGCCAGCCCCAAGTGAAAATAAATTCGATTTACTGAGTTTATTCAGCAAAATACTGTGAGCTGTCAGAATATTTTATTGCTGAAAAATTAGTGAATAAATATTGCTGATTATCAGCAAAATGTTGTCATTTTGACAGAAGTTGGAATTGCTGGAAAATTCATTATTTTGCTGGGAAGTTTGCTGATCTTTTATCAAGTTTAAAATCAGCTGGGTTTCAGCGATTTAAATTTGGTGTGAACGGATGGATAACTGTATGCTGTAAATTTTTATCTCTCCACTACTGACAGCATGGCGCCATGGGAAAAAAGTCATCCGGAAAAATAATGTATGGAGCTCGGTATGGAGATTTGATTTTTTTCCCAAAAATATCGATTTTGGAAGCGAAAACAGAAAAAAATATTTGACATCCCAACAAACAATTTTAGCTGCAGCTTAGCTTATACAGGCAAAAAATAGCTGCATAAGGCAAATTTTGGCTGTATAAGCTAATCTGCAGCTAAAATTGTTTGTTGGGATGAGTGTTTTGTTAAAAAAATAGCGGCATATGTTTCAAAAATCAACCATGCTTTTAATCCATTCCCAGATGGTTGTCGAAAATTAACAGTTGCTAAAATAAAAAAAACGTTTGTTGAACTGGAATTTTGGGTTGGTTCTTTTAGGTACAGTGACCTTCACGTGCTTCTGGTTGAGATTGGCCGGGAGTTCTTTGATCGCATCTTTTCGAGTGCCGATTTTCCGTCAGCAGCAGGGCGAACAGATGCAAACTGGACGCGTATTCCACTCGAAGCAACATGGTGCTGCTGGTATTGGGTGTAACTTGCCGTCTGCACAACAAAAAGTAGCAACATTGATCAACGTAATCCATGGTGATATAATGTAATGGTATAAATCAGATACAATATTAGATTCATGGATGTAATTTTGTTCGCAATGTTTGTGCACATCGTACAATGTAATATTACATAATCGATGGATTGACCTGGGGCCTCATTCCGTAAGTCAAAATGACAAGCCGTTCATTAAAAAAATGCTTCGTTTAGACTTGTACAATAATGTTGAAGTTCGCGGAAAATTAGCAACAAGGTGGATTTACCTAGGGATTTACCAATAAAACTGCTTCTAATCAATTTCTTAAGAAAGCCTGCTACGAGAAATTGATTAAAGAAAATTTATCGAAGAATTTAATGGAATACTCTAACTGAATATTGAAGGCCCAAGCGCAATGACAGCGGAAGCGGAACGACAGCGGCAGCGGAAAAGCCCGATCTGAGAAAGCCTACTTGTCGGATTGAAAACTAGTTAGAACCAAATCGACTTCGGTTAGGCATCTTGATGTCATTTGTGACAACTGTCAAACTTTCCGTTTCCGTTCCGCTTCCACCCACATTGCGCTTGGGCCTTGAATTCCAACCAATATTTAACCAATATTTCAATTCAAATTAAATCATAAGATTTAATCGAGGATTTAATATTGTGAAATTTATACCTTGTCCCAAAATCAAATGTATGCAAAAGCAAGGTGCATTTCACATATTTATGGTGAACAGTTGGCTCTCTACAAGAAAACAGTTACTCTGTTCACAGAGAACAGACGTTGAGGCTCGAACAAAATTTCACTAAAAACTAGTGTAAAGATTCCTATTCGACTTAAGCACCCAGAACAATCCTCTTTGATAACCTGATGGCGCTGGTGTTGGAAAACTTACAGTAGACACTAATGCTGGTAGCGCCGTAGACAAAAATTAACAAGCATACAGCCATAGAGGTAACTCTAAGACCAGAAGGACCCGAATCAACGATCTCAACTTTTAGGCTCAGCTCTGGTACTATTTTCGGTCCCAAGCTAATCTATGCACCCCTCGAAACGTAGGAAAATCTACGAAACCCTCATTTTATCTGTCAAAATTTCATAGCGAATCAAAACAAACATAGAGTAGTACTGGAATTTATACTAGATTTGGGTACGATAATCGATTTGCTTGAGAGCAATAGGCTAGTCAAGTAGTGAGCCAATTTAAAATCGTTAGTTTCGAATTGATTGTTGATACAGCTGCGATTGATTTTGCAAGCTGTGATACTGCAGCTCAGAATATCAAGCTAACGAAACTCACCGCAAATCTCAACAAACTGTGGTGAGATTGGGTAATCCAGCCATGACATTTTTTTACGTTCAGCGCATGGTGGGTACAGCTTTGTCACTATATAGGCGAGGAGGTCATGGGGGGGGGGGAGTGCGGTTTTAGAGCAAATTGTAAACAAACTCGGTCACTGTCCCATACAAAAATCCAACATGGCTGAATCATGAATTTGACACATAAGAACATCTATATGTTTTCACCTTGGTTCAACGGTGAGTACAGTGTTTTCCCTAATGAAGATGTATACCTAGGGGCATCCCACTCTAAACTTTGTATTGCTCGCGTTCTACACAAAAAGTCATTACTGACATCTAAGATACCTAGAAATACTTAAAAATACTTATGAAATATGTAGCGTTAGTTTATTACCACCGTTGCGATACAAATTTAATTTATTTATTTATTTAATATCGTCTAGCATTTTTTAGCGAATATTTTTAAAGTACCCATCCTATGCAAGAAATTCAATCATTATAATGCCTTACATGAAGTGACGGAATGTTATCCCGATTATGGCTTCTATTTAGAGATCAAATTGAACGATGCCACGCTCGGCCACGCTGCAAGCACTCAAACATTTCACGTTATTATGGTCTAAATCTGTCTAGCTGATAGTCGTGGGAATCTTCCACCCGTTCCTCGTTGATTTGAATTCCATCATTGTGTATAATAGGTGAAAATTAGGCTATTGACAGTGTGACACTAACTGAAGTAATTTAGGCTCATTGGAGCTGAATATGAAATTTTGGAGGCTTTCCACACCATTTGCCCCTTACTTTAGCATCCCGAGAGTCACATCTCATAGCTTCCCACCGAATGTATTTATCTAAAAGTGGAGAATAATTTCTAGTATTTGAAACCTTCGACGCTCTTATTCTAAACCATCGATTTTTAATCTGAACTTCGCGAACCCCCACTGAACAAAAAGCACATAAAAGGAATTAGGCGATGTAGACCGAGCTGATCGGTGGGGCAACGTTGAGAATCGATGTTGTAAACGATTATCAAGTCTGGACAAGATCTAAATGGCATATCCCCTTTTTGATAATGTTGTAATGGTTTAATAACTGATTCTATAAGCCCTAGGTTTTCAAATCGTGTACCGCGTATATGACATCAGTGAGCATGCTCCACGGTCTGAAAATACTGCTGTAATCTTAACTTTCTCACCTGTACGGCGTAATCCAGCAATGTATGCTTCTCAAATAGTGGCACTATGGGGAGGTCCACCATCCCAACGAATAGTCAACTGCAAATGGTACGCTTCATTCCACGTTCTGCTAGCGAATGAGCAACATCAGGGTCTGTTGTCTCGTCACATGGCATTGCATTGAAAGTATTTTTTCACCGCGAAAAGTTTTTTATTTGCAAGTAGTTTTTGTGCCTTAGGTGACTCGCGCATTTCGGAAGGAAGCAGCCGATCCTGGCGAAGCCTACGGTCGGTCTGTTCAACTTTAACCTGCTTCGACGATATCGAAATTCTTGCCGCATCATTAGCCATAGTTAGCAGCAAGAACGGTTAAACAGTGGCAATCACACGGACTGGAAACAATAACCAGCAGAAAGCAGTGAGCCACCGCACGGACGGTGTGTACGACCGGCATCTATTGTGGCAGAGCAGCAACAGTATAAGCAGTAGAAACGGTAAGGGCAAATAATAGCACGTATCTGTTTTTTGTATACCCATTCCTCTGACTGTTTGCTTGTGAATCGTCTGTCTCTCCCCCAGTGGAATCGTTCCACATAGGGTGGTTCTTTAATAAAAAATTAATTACTTCTTAGCGAAAGTTTTCAATTTCGTATGGATGAAGGACAGGGGGCGTCAAGCCTCCCAATGATAAAGTAAGAAAGCGTCATTACCAGGCGTCTTCTGCTTCACCTTGGGTTGTCTACTTTCGGCAGAAAGAGAAAGCCCTAAACTTCTTAGGGATTAAAAGAACGTTGACGCGTCGTTTCCCGGGGACCGAATTTCATCAGGTCAATCGGAACAAACTGCGTATAACTACACTCACATATAAAGTCGCAAATGAGATTTCTGACGACGAGGGTTATAATGAAGAGTATTACGTCTACATCCCATCTCGAGATGTGGAGATAGACGGTGTGGTCTCTGCAGTGAGCCTGACGTGTGATGACGTCATGGAAGGTATGGGGCGCCTTCAAAATGCTGCTACATCTACCGTAGACGTTTTGGGTTGCAGGACATTGTATTCAGCGACCACGGTAGATGGTCAAAAGACTTATTCCCCTTCAGGCTCACTACAGGTGTCTTTCGCTGGATCGGTTCTCCCAAAGTTTTTAGAAATTGAAAATGTTTTTTTCCCGGTGCG